CATAACCGTGTGCGGAAAGCGGGAGGCAGTGGTGAGCCGTCCCCGCGGTGGTGTCAGTGATCCCAGTCCTGGGTTTGGGCGAGACCTTCTGGAATGACTGGGGTGGGAGGGGCCGCCCTAGGGGGTGGTCAGCGAGCGCCCCTCTGAGGAGGTGGCGTTTGGGCCCAGGCCTGGCTGCAGAGGTGGCAGAGAACGTTCCAGAGCCCGAGCTGGGGCAGGGCCTCGTGTGTGGGAGGACAGGAGGCGCCGGAGGGAAGTCGGGGGGGAGGGTGCGGGATGGCCTGGGGGTCTCTGCCGGGCTCCGCTCTGGGAGAAGCTGGCGGGGACACCTTGGCCCCTGACTGTCCTGGAGCGCCCCCTCCCCGCGTGGACGTTTCCTTCCTCGTGACTCCCACAATCCACCGGGCGGACACCACGCGCTGGCTTCCCAGCCTCCCTTGCAGCCGGCGCAGTCATGTGACCCGGGCCCACCAATGGGAAGCCCCCTGGGCCTCCTCCCAAGGGACCGGAAGGAGATGGCGCCGGGCGGAAGCCGCGGGCACTGTGCTGGGTTCGCTGGCGCTTCCGGGGACCAGGGCGGGCGGTGTCTCCCTTCCGGGGGCCGCAGGCTTAGGGCTCGGTTCGGGTGGCCTTCCTGGAGCAGCCCTGGTGTGGGCGGCACTTGATCCCCCGGAAGCCGCTGAGCCGAGTCGGCCCCCGTGGGTCCTGAGGGCGTCCTGGGGTCTACACCGCGCCTGAGGGCCGGCCTCCCTGGAGCGTGTCGGCGATGCACGGGCTCCGACCCTCAGGCCCGAGAGCAGAGCCCGCGCCTCCCCAGGCCGCGGGGGTTGGTGTGTCCGCTGACCTCCGGAAGCAGCCGTCACGTGCTCCTTAGCCGCTTAATCCAGCTGCGCGGCGTCCTGGCGTCACAGTTCAGAACCTGGTGACGCAAAGCCGTGGGGCGAGGGGGCGGCTAACCAGGGAGCGAGGCGACCTGGTTGTCCTTTCAGTGTCCGTCCTGCCGCTGGAGTCCAGAGCCAGCAGTTGATGTGGATCAAAGGCTGGTGGCTTTTGAGCCGGGGCCCGTGGGGACCCGCATGAACCCTGGGCAGCGTGCTGGCGGGTTGCCCCTTTGCCCTGCACGTGCTGTGCCCCCAGGTTGGTGACGCGGCTGTGCCATTTATGCATCAGCAGGGGGCTCGGACCTAGAGAGGGTGGGGACATCAGCTTCTGCCCACGATCAGCCGTAAACACCATTTAGACCCAGGCAAGCCTATCCTACTAATCGATTACAGGGGAGAAAATCAGGTTTGAGAAGGAGTCGTTGTGCAGTATGTTGCACTTCCATGTATAATTCTATGAAGTCTCATTACTTATGACTAGACTGAAAGAAATTGAATTTTGATTACTTAACTCCATTTCCTGCTGTGCTTATGAGGAATGCGCTTTTTCTAAAGGCCCTCTGTCTCCTTCGTTGAGAGTGATTTTTCTCTGAGAGCCTGTCTTCCCCCACGAGGCAAGTGTGCCTAACAAAGGGAGATGTATCTGGAACTGAGCAGCGCCATGAGGGGCTTCTAGAAGTCTCTGGGAGTCTCAGGGTTTGTCCTGGAAGGTGATTCTGGAAGGAAATCATATCCATCCTGGGCTCTTTGCTTTCATCATTGTTATTGTCATCGCCATCGTCATCACAAGTGTCATCATCATCACCATCAGCTTTATCATCAGCACTCTCGTCATCACAGCCATCACTGAATATGGTGCTCACTATGTCCCATCACTGCTCTAAGTGATTTCAGTTGCTCCTTTGTCATCATCACAAATCTCTCAGGTAGTATCATTGCCATCCTCATTTTAATGGTGAACAGTTGAGGCACAGAGAGGTTAAGAGACCACCTAATGTTGCACAGGTAGTGAGCTGCAGAGCCTGCACTCACATGCGCAGCCCGGCCCCAAGTCCACGCTCTCAGCCGCTCTCTGTGTTGCACAACACGCCCTGATCTCCCTGGACAGTCTTTGCTCCCCGTCATTGGGATTGTGTCCCCACCTTGGCTGTCCTCAGAATGCCCCTCCCCCAGGCCTGGGTCAGATGTGCCCATCCTCCAAGCTCCTTTCTGGTCCACCTCTTCATGAAGCCCCTCCTAGCGTCTCCTCTCCCTGGCTCCAGAAGCTCATGGCAGTGCTGTTGTCCCCTCCTGACACCGTCCCCCTGCAGCACTGGCCTGAGGGTCCAGGAGGCTGTCCTCCAGGCAGGCAGACTCTCCCAGCCTGGTGCCCTCAATTTCTCCCCAGGATGCGCAGGGACAGCGTGTTGTGGGCCCAGCAGTGGCCTTCATGGTGGGCTTTAAGGCTCAGGGTGAGGGAGGAGGGGAGGTGTTCATCACCTGAAATTCTTGGCCTCTCGACATCCTCACATCACAGCCCACGGAAACTGCATGGGTGAGGTGTCATTGTGATCTGACGTGCATCCACCGCTACCCCCAGCCTGGCTCTCGACGTGAGCGTGTGGTGTGTGGGCAACTGAGGGACACTGGCTTTGAATGAACAAGATTGAAGCAGAGAGATCCTGTCTTCCCCCACGAGGCAAGTGTGCTGACACCTGCTGACAAAGGGAACTGGCTGTGCATCTCTTCTCCCTGCTGGAGACACCTTTATCTTTTCTTACAGAGCATCTAGCCTCTGAACTCACACAGTATTCCTGTTCTAGCAAGATCAGGACATGAAATCAGGACAGGGAGTTTAATAGACTCAGGCTGGGCTTCCCCGCTGACAGCCACAGGAGCAAAGCCAGCCTCCCGGGGGGCACATCCCCTCTCTGGGCAGCCTGGGCAGGAGTGGCCTCTGCCGTGGTCCCTTCTGAGAGCCCAGCCGAAGGATGTGGACCCTGGACCTCCCCTGGCCAATGTGCAGACGAGAAGAGCCAGCGTGAACTGTGCTCACTCTGTGCCGGCCATGTTTGTGGGAGCTTTAGTGATGGGATCTGCTCACTCACTCTTCATCCTAGATGAGGAAACTGAGGCACAGAGTGGTTCATTCACTTGTCCGAGGACACACCTTGGTGAGTGAGGGGACTGGGATTGTCATCATCATTATCATAATTTTCTCCACCACCACCATCATCATCATCACAGTCACCCCTCCCTCCTTTCTTACTTTTTACTTAATGAGTTTCTTTCTTTTCTATATGACATTGATTTCTTTGAGAAAGTGGAATGATTTTTCTCCTTGTAGTTTGGCATAACTTGTTGCTCCATAAAACAACTTTTTACAAATATAAGTGCACTATTCAGATACTTAGAAACCAAATATTCAGATATTGTGAAATTAAAGCTAAGTAATAATTTCGTAGAACAAGAGAAGAAGGAGACTAGTAATTCACATTCACTAGCAACACTTTGATGACTCTCCTTCTTTGTTTTTATGCACAGGTATGTAAAATGTTTTCTCCACCAAACGTGGGATAATATTGTACATGGTATTTCATAACCAGCTTCTCTCCCTGGACGATATGTCACAACATTTCATACAACTGCCGCACTTCTACACGGGCTTCATGGTGGAGCCCTCACACGCGGCACCAGCCAGCCTTTCCCACCTGTCCTCGTTGCTGCTCAGTGGGACGAGCCTCTGTCCCCCATCTGCCTCCTTCCATCTGAATCCCACTGTTTCTTGGTCATCAGCTCTGACCTGCTCTTCTCACCCACGTGTTCTCTGAGGTCCCCTCTCACGTGGCTCTTAGCTCATAAACAATCCTGCTCAACCGTTGTCACACATTTCCTGACAAACCATGTGCTCCAGACCCTGGGCTGGGTACTGGGAACTGGGGACAAGCCCAGCTGACATTTCTGGAGCACTGACAGGCACCAGGAATTTACTTGTCTGATCTCCGTTATCCCATTGCAGCCCTATGAGGTGCATTCTATCATGTCCCCGCTTTAGACAGGGAGGAGGTGAGGGGAAGCTGCACAGTGAGCACGTGAAGAAGCCAGATTTCACGCCAGCCTGACAGAACCTGGAGCTGAGCACAACCCTCATGCTGGTCCGTGGTGGCTGCCTGTGAGGGGCTCACCCTGTATCAGCGGACCCTTCACCCTCCCCCTCCTGTGTCCTGAGAAAGGCCAGGCAGAGCCCAAGTGCTCTGTGCAGCTGGAATCTGTTTGGTGGCAAGTGACAGAAAACTCAACTCTAACTGGCTTTAGATGAGATAGAGATTGAAGCCACTCCACAGTCTGGGGCTAGAGCTGGCGTCTCCAGGGCTGGATGCAGACCCAATAATAATAAAGACCCAATCGTTGGGGCCCAGTTTCTCTCTCTCCATCTCACTGTCTCGTTTATTCTTGTGAGTCAGCTCCATTCTCAGACAGGCTCCCCCTCATGGATACAGAACGGCTGCAGCATCTCCGGCCCTCAAACTCTCTCAGCTTCAGCTTCAGTGGGAAGTCACCTGTGTCTTTCCTGGTTTCGCACCAATGAAATGTGAGAGGGCGTGATGGGCATCCCTTCTGAATAGAAGCTTTAGGAGCCAGTGTGTCACTCACCACGTTCTCTCTTTTCCCTGCCATAGGGAGCAGCAATGTTTGAGGCAGAAGCTGCCTCATTAGCCTGGTCCTGGAGTGACGATGAGGTGGAGCAAATCCACAGCCAAATCAAAATGAACAGGAAGCGTGATGGGAAACAAGCCTGTCTTTCTGTGAACTGCTGAGACCTGGGGGTTCTTTGTTACTGCTGCATGACTGGCTCATCCCACCAATCCACCAGCCCACAAAAGGAACGCATGTCCACCGAGGGGCTGGATGTGGGTGTCTCTGTGTCGTCTTGTCCCCACATGTGGAGGGGCAGTGTCCGCACAGGGACCTAGTGAATATCTATTGACTGACAGGTGCCAGTTAACTGTTCACGTCGCTCCTGTTTGGTCTCTGGGTGCTTCCTTTCTCCTGTGACGTCTCCCTCGCTGCTTGCCCTCCTGGCTCCAGCCTGAAGCGCCCGGTGAGGCTCCAGCAGCTGGTCAGGAGCTGGCGAGGAGGAGCCCCAGCTCAGCCTGCTGAGCCATGGAGAGGAGTCTCGTTTCCATCAGTTCTTCTCGGGCCTCTGAGCTTGGAGTGAGATGAGATCTGCCCTGGATCCAGTAGCCTGGGCCCTTGCCTCACACGGACACGGGAAGGAAACAAATGCCCACGACCAGCTTTTATGTTTTTTCTCTACTCTTCTGGGAAAAATAGGGTCCTGGCTTCCAGAACGTTCCCTGAAGCCAGGAAGGGCCAGGGCTCCAGTTTCGCCTTTGTCAGCTGCAGACCCGTTTGCAGTTCCATCAGAAGGAGGCATCGCACCCAGAACACCCCTCCTCACTCTCACAGGACGCGGTCCCTGTGAAGGAAGGACTGTGTTGTCGTCGGAGCTGCTGCCACTCAGCCTGGAAAGCGCCTCCCGACTCGGCGTGGCCTGTTTCCATCTACCTGCTCTACGGGGCCTTCGATTCTGGAAACCAGTTCAGTAAATACGTCCGTACCTGTGCTATACATACATATATCGATATATATGAATAAACGCTCATTGGAGTATCGTTTACGACAGGTTAAGACCAGCAACCACAGAGCGTGCCTGGACAGGGGCAGGTAAATGCTGTGTGTTAATCTGATCACAGGGACCCCACTGGCTATAGAAATGAGGCTCCTCCACGCCTTGTCCCCGGGGGTTGGGAAGATGCTCTGGGCTTGGCCAACCGGGTCTTGCTCTGGGACTTAGGAGCTCAAGTGAGAGAGATGGAGCTGGAGGGGTCACATGGCGGTCAGTGTGGTGTGTGGGGAGGGGTGCCTGGGTGTGACCTCTGTGGGGTCCCTGCTGCCGGCCTCCTGGGAATGACCTGGTTCCTAGGTTCCCAGCAGTCTGTGAACCCCGAGAACTGCAGATAGTTTCCTTTGTCCTTAAGACAGAATTGGTGTCTGTGGTGGCCCCAAGGGCCCTGGGCACTGGATCTGCTCCGGCCCACGTTACTCTGAACTGCAAGGTGACACGTGTGCGTCCCTGGCTCTGCAGCCAGACCACAGGCTTTCAGATGGCAGGGCCACTTCTCACACGTCCTTTGTCCCCACGTCACCTCCTACAGGGTGTGGGAGCCCCACAGACACCCAGCACCAGCTGCAGGGCTGATGGCATGGATCACCTCCCTCTGTCCACGTTGTTGGTCTCAGGTGGCGGATGATAGGAATGACCGTGATGGCAGGGACACACATCGCTGGAGCCCTGCCTTTGCCCAGAGCTCTCACTGAGAACAACCATTGCAAAGAGCAGAATGGGTTTGACCTGGCCGATGTGGTGGTCGCTCATTAACACAGACAGAAGGGACCTGACGGCAGACGTGGGGGATGAGGAGACCACCTCCTGCTCAGAGCCGGTCCCGCTCCAGTCCACCTGCCCATGTCCAGATCTGGGCAGTGGTGAGGTGACACTGAGAGGTGCAAAGGGGGCATCTTTGGGGAGCTGTTGCAGACTAGGATGGGTCCTGCAGAGAGGAGCCTTTGGGAAGTGGTGGCAGCTGAATTACTCTGGGTTTGACTCTGTCTGTTTAAAATTGACTAAACAGTGAATCATGCCTGCCACATCCCGTGCATGTTGGTTTCAGTGGATTTGCTGCTAATTTCTGCCTTAGGAAGAGCTGGGCCTCAGGAGAAACTCGATAAGCAAAAGTGAGCAGGTGCATCTTCTGAGAACCGACTGGAGTCATCTTCACCATGTGTTCACCAGGTGTCTGCTAATTTTGTAAAAACAATTTGTCCCTTGACAGTCCATGAGCAGAGGAAGGAGTGAGCTCGGGTGGGAGGAGGATGAAATAAGGTACAAACAAGATGACACTATGATGACAGTTCCCGCCGGAGGCCTCCTGACATTTCACAGGTGTGACAGGAGGTCCAGCATGCCCACACTCCTCGAGTCCCAAAGAGACACTCTCCTGTGCTCAAGCCAGGCGGTGACAAAGCTCGGCACGGCCTCCTTTCCATCTAAGCCCTGGCCAGCTTCCTCCCTAAACCCATCTTGGTGTGTCTGCATCACTTTCTGGGTCTCTGTCCTGTCAAAGCCCAGGGCCTACAGGTCCCATCCTCTCGTGTCCAGGACGAGATTCAGTGATTATCACCTGGCATAGAATGGACGCTCAGGCCTACACATGAACAGCAGCCCTGGACTCACCTGGGCGTGGCCTCTGACCAAACTCTCCCTGAGTCCACCCCAGCACATTCCTGCCCCCAGTCAGCACATCCGGCTGCTGTGGGAGCTTCCTGGTCATGACATCAATGTCCCCAGCCTGATTTCAAGGGAAAACTAAATGAAGGAGAAGGCAAGGCTGACAAGAGGCTGGGCCCTGACTGGGGTCTGGGAAGCTGGTTGTGCAGGAGACACGGCCCATGGGCACTGACTATGGGCAGAATCGAGATGATCATCCCAGACAGGCCGGGCTCCTGGAGCTTGGTGTGGGATCACCCTGCTGTTTGGAGCAGCCCAGGGCAGAAGGGAGCAGGTGGAACTTCCCCCTGTGACCTGAAGGAAATCGCAGGGCTGGGGGACTTTGGCACCTTACAAATATCCTGTTCTTTCATTTTCTACCTGTTGGTTCCTCCCCAGTTGATAAGGCTGCCCTGGATCAATAATTCATTTCCACTGAGGATTGTGCAATGATGACTTTCCAGTTCCACTGTCCCCTCCCTGCTTGGTGACTGTCATTGTCCTGTGAAGCGGAGCCTTTGGAGGAGGCTCTGAATGACAGGCCCTGTGGAAGGCAGGGCGAAGGCTTCCTCCTGTCCCTTTCTTCATCGTTTTTCGAAGTGATGTGTGGTCCTGGTTGGGTCCTGGTTATAACATACTGACACAGCAAACATTTGAAAACAATTGGAAAAATCAGAATAAAACCTGGGCATCAGAGGGGCCGGCCAGGTGGTGAGCAGTTAAGTGCACATGTTCCACTTCAGTGGCCTGGGGTTCGTCAGTTCGAATCCCGGGTGTGGCCATGGCACTGCATGGCAAGCCATGCTGTGGTAGGCGTCCCACATATAAATTAGAGGAAGATGGGCCCAGATGTTAGCTCAGGGCCAGTCTTCCTCAGAAAAAAGAGGATTGGCAGATGTTAGCTCAGGGCTAATCTTCCTCGGGAAAAAACAAAAAACAAAAAATGTGGGTATTAGAATCTAATCTGGGTATTAGACTGGATTCAGAAATTATTAATTTTTTTGTAAGTGTGATAATGTTATTTTGTCTATATAGGAAAATGTTCCTCTTTTTTAATACATGTAGACAAATGAAAACAACTCAATCCCTCAAAAACGAAAATATAATTGCTTCAAACACAGGATAATTGCAGACATTTTATATGCATGGGTGCAGACACTCCCATGTGCACACATGTGCACATACACGTACACACGCACTAACAGGACAGTGTGGGTGCACAGCTCAGGATGGGGCAGGATTTTAAATGTCTGTAACGAATCTCCTGCCCCTTCAGTCCTGTCCGCACGTCCTGTAACTGTGGCTCACGTGCATTTGGGGACAGGGTTGGAAGGTTAGGGGTTGAACTGTGACAGCTTGTGCAGTCGTTCTCAGATCTCTCGTGTGTCCGCCCGCACCTGTTCCCTTGATGCTGGGTTTGCACACGTGACTTGCTTTGGGCGATAGATGGAGGCAGAAGGGCCAGTGAGGCAATTCTAAGCTGAGGACTCAAGAGGCCTGGGAAGTTCCTGTGCTCTTACACCGCTGCTCTTGTCAGGAGAAGAGCATGCCTGGGCTAGCTCGCCAGTCCCAGGGAGATGAGAGCACATGGAACAGACTCCTCAGCCAAGTTCCGCCCACACCAGGCAGTACCCAGCCCACTGCTGACCCGTGAGTGAGCCCATGAGACCAGTAGAGCCACCCAGCGAAGTCAGCCTCAATAAGTGAGCCAGCCCTCGGCAGACCTGCAGATCCACGAGAGCACAAGGCTGTTGTTTGAGGCCATTGCATTTCAGGGTGATTTGTTACACAGCATTCTCCTGACAAAGCTGACTGATGCGGTGTCCCCTTCCCAGTCTGGGCACCCAGGAATCCTTGGGTCTTCCTGTCCTGCAAGTGCCTGGGCTCCTCACCCCACTGACACAGCATCGGAAAGCAGTGGGGGGAGAGTCTTGTCTATTGAATTTGTTCAAGACACCAGGCGTTCATGGGCTTGACTGCTTTTTAGACACTTAGCAGGTAATTTACAACTCACATAATAAACACGTAATTATTGCTTATGAAGGTTTGATGACTGCTTTATGAGAAATATCAATCTTTGCTCAGAAGTTATTAGGAAAAGATATTGTCCCCAAACATGCCTCGTGAACAGTGACACGCAAAGCGTTCACTCAGAACGAGTGATCAGATCGCGATCAGCTTTCGTGTGGGACACAGGGCGCGTCTGGAGGACCGTCCTCAGCGGGATGGTCTGACGGAGCTGGTGAAGCATGGGCCGGGTGGGAAGTCGTCGCGTTCCCGGAGAAGAGGTTTCTGATCGTCAAAAGCAGCCTGGGCTCCGAGGTCTGGGGCCCGAGGTGGCAGAGACCGCGGCGTGTTGAGAGGAACCGACAACAATGCTTTGTGCTCTTTGGTCATCGTGGGAGGGCAGAGACGAGATGGGGTGGGTCAGGAATCACCACGTCTGCCCCTGGATGGGGCGGGGGAGCCGTGACACGGCGTCCAATGAGGACAAAAGCAGGTCTGGGCTGTGAGTGCTGCAGAGGGCGCCCCCCGCCCCCACACCCCATGCCTGGCGGCCCCAGGCCCACACACCTCTGTGTTCTGGAGGAGATTCAACGACTTTCCAGAAGTCTTCTTTCCTGTACCTTCTCCTACCACGTGGGCAGAGGGTGCTCCGTGACCCTGACGTGGGGTGCAGCCAGGTGACATGTTTTGGCCCATGGCAGACGGATGCCAACTCAGGCTTGAAAAGCTCTGCCATGGTTGGAAGTGCCGGCCAGCTTGCTGGTCCAGGAGGACAACAGACACGTGGAGCTGACCCAGGCCTGCATGCTGAAGGGGGCTGCCCGGCTGAGCCTCACCTGGCCTCGCCGTCTCCATCGCACCTCTGCCGGGCGAGCCCTGCCGAGGTCAGCTGGTTCGGGCAGCAGATGCCCCTCCGG